ACAGGATTCTACTAGGGGTTTCCATGCCCTGCAGGGAACACAGCAGGGGCATGTACCATCAGGAGGAGGAAGGAGCAGCCTCTGCATCATCAGAGCCATGCTCCCTATCTCCCCACTCCGGCCACTTCCTGGGGCTTCCCAGCCCCAAGAACTCCCCTTCCTTCCTTTGAACTTCCTTTCGTGCTCTGTGCCCTGTCTGGGCACTAAGGGCTCTTTGAACTCCTCCAGTCAGGGAAGCCAAAGATAGGGGTTGGGGTGTGTCGGGGGATAAGTAGGGTGTCTGGGTTTTTGCTTTGTGCCCAGGCAGGGCTGCAGGTGTGCTCAGGGCAAGGGGATGGGGACTCCATTTGACTCACAGGTTGGGGCTTGCCAAGTCCCTGGGGTACCAGGTGCTGTCCAGGGGGGACCCCCCCAGGTCCACTCATGGAGGGCCATAGGCCCTGAAGGGCCCTGTGAGAAAACCCCAGGGCCGCTTACTTCTTAGATGCTCTAATGACAGCCGTTTGCTCACAGATGATTTCCACATTGCAAAAATATTTCTTTGGGCCAGTGAGATGGCTGAGATGGTAAAGGAACTTGGTGCCACACCTGATGCCCTGAGATTGATTCCCAGAATCCACATGATGGAAGGAGAGGACCAACTCCCACAAGTTGTCCTCTGACTATATACACATGTGGCATGCCCCCACTTACCCAATAAATATATAAATGTAAATTTAAAGATATATATTTTTTTCTTGTCAGGGCAGGTGTGAGATCAACCTGGATAATGTGTCAGACTCTGTCTTAACAACAATTTTTTGTGCACCATGGTGGTATATACCTATAGTCTCAGCACTTAAAGGCAAAGGCAGGAGGATTGCTGCCAGTTGGAAGCCAATGTGACTTTGCAGCAAGGCCCTGTCTCAAAAGGAAAATGACAGCCGGGCATGGTGTTGCACACCTTTACACGAGAAGCAGAGGCTGATAGATTTCTGTGAGATTGAGGCTAACCTGGTCTACATAGCAAGTTCCAGGTCAGCTGGGGCTACAGGAGAACCTGTCTCAAAAAGACAACAATGAAAAAAAGCCTCTTTGTTTTTGTTCTGTTTGTTTGCTTGTTTCTGAGACAGGGTATCTTCATATTCTCGGTCACCTTGCCTAGCCTCCTGAGTACTGGGACTAGAGTAGTACAGCACCTGCCTGGCATGATTCTCATTAAAAGTTCGGGAGCATTGTTAACAGTAGCTAACCCACTCCGGCATTGTTATCAGCTTCATTTCACCAGTTTTGCTTTTTTTCCCCTTTTTTCTCTGGGATACACACATGTACCTACACAAATGCATATCATACACAGATATATAAACTTATCTTGCAACTACATCTATACATGTTCATACACAGCAATCTATGTATACGTGTACTCATTCATCGCCACAAAGGTACACACATATGCGTATCTACCACACAAGTATTTTCTCCCAAACTTTGAAATCATGATCTTCACTCCTAAAAACCTCGGTGTGTGGGCTGGAGAGATGGCTCAGCGGTTAAGAACACTGGTTGTTCTTGTAGAAGACCCGGGTTCGAATCCCAGCACCCACATGGCAGCTTACAACTGTCCAACTCCAGTTCCAGGGGATTCCAAGACTTCTTCTGCCCTCGCGGGCATTGCATGACATGGTGCACTTACCTACATGTAGGCAATATATACATACACATAAAATAAAAGTAACAAATAAGATATTTTTAAAAAACCACTATTAAAAAACCTCAGTGCGTATCTCCTAAGCATGAGACTACATCCTCCTCACAAAGTCTTTAATGCTCTTTAAAAAGTCTACACAGCCACAATAGTATCTAATATCCAGTCTATATTCAAATTTCTCCAGTTGCCTTCAGAAGGTCTTTTATTTTTTTGAGGCAGAGTCTCATGCTAGTCCATGCTGACCTACAAGTCACTCTGTAGCTCAGGCTGGCCTCAAACTCATGGTGATCCTCCTATCTCAGCCTCCCAAATGTTGGGATTACAGGCATGAGCCACCATTGTGGCTGGCCTGGAATTCATTATGTAAACCAGCATGGCCTAGAATTCACAATGGTCTGCCTAACTCTGCCTCCCAAGTGCTGGGACTAGCCAGGCATGGTGGCACACACCTTTAATCCCAGCACTTGGGAGGCAGAGGCAGGTGGATCTTTGTGAGTTTGAGGCCAGCCTGGTCTACATAGTGAGTTCCAGGACAGCTGGGGCTACAAGGAGACCCTGTCTCAAAAAGAGCCCCCCCAAAAAAGTGCTGGGACTAAAGGTGTGTACACCATGCCTGGCATAGCTGTTTTTTCAAACCTAGGATTCAACCAAGGGCCATGTATTACATTTGGATGTTTCGTTTCTTAAATTTATTTTGTTCCTGGTTATTTCCACTTATTTGTATATGTTTGTGTATGTGAATATAGGTACATGCATACCACAGAACACATGTGGAGATCAGAGGACAACCTCGGGGGTGGGGCTCCACCTTCCACATTGCTTGCAATGGGGCCTCATTGTTTGCCACTGTGGACACCAGGTTAGCTGGCCCATGAACTTCTAGAGATTTTCCTGTCTCTTCCTCCCATCTCATGGTAGAAGCACTAGGATTACAGGTGTGTGTTATCATATCTGACTTTTTAAAAATAAATTTTATTTTATGTGTGTGTGTGTGTATTGCCCGTATGTATGTAAGTACACTTGTGCTGTGCAATGCCCAGGGAGATCAGAAGAGGGCGTCGGATCCCCTGGAACTGGAGTTACAGATGTTGTTAGCCACCATATGGGTCCTGAGAACCGAACCCAGATCTTCTGCAAGAGAGCAGCCAGTGCTCTTAAAAACCCCTGAGCCATCTCTCCAGCCCCCCACGTCTGACTTTTTTCTTTAATATTTTATTTTTATTTTATGTGTATGAGTGTATTGCCTGCATGTATGTGAGTGCACCCTGTCATGCAATGTCGTGGAGGTCAGAACAAGGCTTCGGATTCCCCTGGAACTGGAGTTAAGAATGGTTCGTAGCTGCCATGTGGGTGCTGGGAATCGAACCCGGGTCCTCTGTAAGGGTAGTCAGTATTCTTAACCACTGAGCCAACTCTCCAGCCCCCATGTCTGACTTTTTAAATGTGGGTTGTGATCAGCTTCACAGATGATTTGCACATTGCAAAATTATTTGTTGGGTCAGTGAGATGGCTGAGCTGGTAAAGTAACTTGGTGCCACACCTGACAACCTGAGATTGATTCCCAGAACCCACATGATGGAAGGAGAGGACCAACTCCTACAAGTTGTCCTCTGACTATATGCACACATGGCATGCTCCCACCAGCCTAATAAATACATAAATGTAAATTTAAAGATATATTTTTTTCTTGCTAAGGTAGGAGGATCACTTGAACTTAGAAGTCTGGGGATCTGAACTCTGGTCTTCACGTTGGGCAGCAAGCACTTTACCCATTGAGCTGTCTCCTCAGCACCAGGTTTGTTTGTATTTTTAGACAGGGTCTTATTCTGTAACCCAGAAACAAAATGAAACTCATTAACTTGAACACACCTGTAATGTCTTTTCCCCACGTTAGGTCACATATCCACAGGCTTCAGGTGAAGACAGGAGCATTTTTAGGAGGTCATTTGCTACTGCAGTGTAATTGACCATTTGTGGAATGAGTGAATCTATGGGTCCGTGAGCCCCTCATGGATGGAATCCTGAGTCTTGAGTTCCAGGTTTGGCTCAAGCACTGTGTAGCTTTGGGGATGTCCCCTCTTGCTGGGAACCTCAGTTTCCTCCTTCATTTATATAAGTTCTGAGCTCCAACTTATACCCAGATCAACTGATCTCCTGATCCTCAGAGGGCTTTGGGAACACGGGGGAGGGGGGCACACAAAAGGAGAGATCGAGTTGTCCTCCTTCTGGGGCCACCTGCCAGGTCACTTGTAGAGTATGAAGTCCTGAGTAGGTAGGCTTTTGGAAAAGGTGACATTTCAAAAACAGCTCTTGACGTATAAGAAGGCGTTTCTGTGGTAGACAAGTAGAAAGTGGAATTATAGCCAGCCTCAGGCCTCGGACCTCTTTGAGGAACTATGAGTAGTGTGGTGTGTTCCCTCTGGGGAGAGACTATGGGGACATGTTTGGAAAGGAGACCCTGAAGGCCCAAGTTAGGAGCCTGGACTCTTCCCTTGGGTAAATAGGGAGCCACTGCAGGCTTTTAAAGTAGGAGAGAGAGCCAGGCATGTGCAGCTGTTGGGTCTTTATCTCTTACTCTGGCTATGGTGTAGGGAGGGGATTGAGGGGCTGACGTCCAAGCCTAGGATGGAGGTGGCCTGGACTGGGGACAACGGAGATCTGTCTAAGGGAAGTAGAATCAGTGGAATGTGACAATCAGAGGAGATGGGGGTAGGGGGGAATGTTTGAAAATATGAGTTTCGAGGTGCATGTGGCGACTCTGCATGAGACGATGAGCAGCTGCCTATTAGCTGAGCAAGGCTAGATCCTCTGAGAAGCCCTAGAAGAGGCAGGCCAGAGGGCAAAGAGACTGACCCACTGACCCTTGAAAAGGCTCTGAGCTCCGGCCTCCATGTACAAGGAAAGCCTCAACTCCAGGCAAGAGTTCACGCACATCTGCAGTACCTGTGCCAGTAGCCACTGAGGTGGACATTGGGGCTATACCCGGCCTCCCCATCTCTGCCCAGAGACCATCCCTGAAAGACTCAGGCGAAAAGACTGAGGCCATAGGCAAGCAGCCCTGGGGAACACGGCTGTGGGGAATTTACAAGTCTCCGGAGACCCCCAGTGTGGAAGGGCGGTAGTCCCCCTGAGTGGTTTCCCGCCTGTGGATCCTCCCACTGGGGGAAGCGGGAACTTCTTCTTTCAAGACACAAATGTCAGGCTCACCAGTGACTAAGACACAGTCTCGAGTGGTGGGTGGAGGGAGTGTTTAAGTACCAGACCTTCCTGTCCTCTGGCCATCAAACACCTGACTGGGACAGATAGATACAGCATGGCCAGCCTGCAGGCTCCACTCCTGGTGGCTCTCCTCCTTTCCGTGGCACTTCAGGCAACGGATGCAGGTAAGGCTGGGAGCAAGAGGGCAGACACTAGAGAGTTCCCCCTTTTCTGGAATGACCCATAGTGAATCTGCCATTAGTTTTTGTGGCTTTGGGCTAGCTCTAGAGCTTCCCTGGACTAGCTTTGGAACTTCTCTGGTCTAGCTCTGGTACTTCTTTGGTCTTGCTTGGTACCTCTCTGTGTCTCAGTGTACATATCTATAAAATTGGTAGTCTGGAAGGCTTGAATTTTAGGATCTGTCTCAGAAGGGTTGGAGTTTGGGTGGGAAAGGCCTAGGGATCTCCTAACCCAGACAGCTCAAATACAGGGGAGGTGAGTATAGAGCCCACGAGGTGTCAGGCCTGAGTTGAGGGAGTCAGAGCTGGGTCAAGGCAATTTCTTGGAAAGCTAGCCTTGCCTGTCAGCAACCCAGGTTTGCTCTGGTCAGCATGAGGTTCCGACTCCTCTTTCCCAGCACACTGTTGACTCTCCTGCTCTGGGCTAGGCAGGTCAGGATCACTGCAGTGGGTCAAGGCAAACTTGACCAGTCATTGATCATAGTATCTGCCTTCCAGAGAGTCTCTCTGCAGTAAAGCCCTGTGGAATTGGTCTTATTACTCTTCTAAGGCCTCAGAGATGGCAAATGACTAGGCCAAGGTGGCCTGGTCACTCAGAGCAGAACAGGACTTGAACCCAGATCTGTGTGACTATTGCCTGTCTGAGCAACAGACAGGGCTCTGCCAAAGTCTTGCTGTGTGACCTTGGATGCTTGTCTCACCTTCTCTGGGCTTCAGCCTGTCCAGGGCACTGAGAAGGGGCAGACATTTCAAATGCTGTGTCACACGCATGGGGTTATTGGGTTTGGAGCAGGGCCGAGCAGCTGACAGCCTCCTGGGAACTGATGCTGCTGTCCACAGATTCACCCAGACTCACTCTGGCTCAAAGGCACAGGACCCTATTGATCCTAGTCATTTGGAACCCACCTCTCAGAGCTGACTGTCTCTGAGTATAGACCCTGGGCCCTTAGTGGCATGTCAGAGATTCCCCAGGCTGGGGTATTCAAGGCCTAGAATCTGTCTGTGTGGGAGAGACTCTCTTGCAACAGGTCTGCCTGTGATTGGGACTGAGGCAAAGGCTGGGCCCTCTGTGCTCCAGCTTATGTCCTTCGGGCATCCCTCCATCAGGTCCCTATGGTACTAACGTGGAGGACAGCATCTGTTGCCAGGACTACATCCGTCACCCCCTGCCATCACGTGTGGTGAAGGACTTCTACCCGGCCTCTAACTCTTGCCGCAAGCCCGGTGTCATGTGAGTAGGGAGCCAGGACCATGGGGCCCTGGAGGATGGGCTGACTGGGTGTGACCCAAGAGCTGAAGAATGCAGTCGGTTCTAAATGCAAGCCAGGAGGCTCGGCTGGACAAAGTGGCTTAGCCAGGCTTGGGTGTACTGAATCGCAAAATGCTGGGATCATTTAACAAAAATTGTTGGGCATCTGTGATGTACCAGGCCTGAGGATGGCAGTCTGGTACATCAAAGTCTGGTGCCACCCCAGCATGGCATGGTCATGTGGGCATTGAATAGCCACAGGCTGTTGGTAAATGGTGTAGGTGTAGGGGTATAGGCAACATATCTAGAACCACTCCCTACAGAGGCATCCTGGATCCTCCCAGTCCCCTGGAGTTCTTGGAAGCCATTTTTGTCAGAGGCATAAATAATATTAAGAGCTGACAGCTATTGAGAGCTGTCCATGTGCCCAGGCTGTTCTACCTTGTGAATCACTCAATCTTCACAGCAATGATACATAGAGGTTCCATTATAGATGGGTCATAGACTCAGCAGAAGGAAGGGGATCCAGGCTCAGGAAAGGGAAGGGGATTCACGTTCAGCAAAGGGAAAAGGAAACAGGCTCAGTAAAGCCTGGGGTAAGGTTGCCCAAGCTAGACCTGGAGTTCCAATGTTCTTGTACAGGGCTTTCTCTTGAGATTCTTGCCCTCTGCTTCCCAGCTTCCTCAACCAGGCTGGACGACCCCTTCTTTTTGTGATAGCCCCCCCTGGCTACATGTAGCCTTTAAGAGCTTCCTGCCAACCACATCACCCACTGGGTGGTTTTTGGACTGGGGACTCATGACCCCCCACTTCAGGCTCTGTCATCATCTCTCCCTCCTCCCCACAGCCAACTCCATCTCTTAGAAGAGTCTGCAGGGGAATTACAAAGAAGGGCAGAGCAGGAGCCCTCCCAAAGGTCTGGCTACTTCAGCTCTGAGACTATTACCCATCACTACAGTGGAACCATAACCCATGTTTATCAAGGACAAACAGAGTGCCTGATGAGCACAAGATACTGCTGTGGCCAGAAACAACACTGTGCAGAAGTCACAGTCCCACCTGGTCCCCTTGTACACTGAGGACATGGCAGGAACTTAAGGGTTTCTTCAGCATCAAAGAGCAATGACAGCAAGTGGTAGACCCAGAGCTCATAGCCTGGCACATAGGAGGTTCTTAGGGAAGGACAGCACCCAGTGATCCTTGGATTCTGAATCAAAAGGGACTCTAGGAAGAATATAGCCTCGACATGGGGAGACGGAAGCTCAAGGAAGGGCCACCTTGTGTAGGCTGCCCTTGAGGCCAAGCTCAGCATTGCTGCCCTCCTGTTTGTTGGTGGTGAACAGAGCAGAGATAGACTGATGGTATGAGGGATCTAGAAGCTCTGGCTCTGTGACTGGGTTCTCCAAAGGCAGATGTGGCATGGAGCAGGGGCCCTGCCACCAGCCAGCCTGGACCCACCCTCGCCAACCAGAGCTCAAGCGCTCAGGCCCAGCATAGCATTTGCTACAGCTGGACAGGGCAGGAGCCTTGAGCTACATTTGCTGGGTGTCTTAGTTTCTTTTCTGGCTGCTGTGATAACATACTCTGATACAAAGAACTTAAGGGAGAAAGGGCTTATTGTGGCTCGCAGTTAAGGTACCATCCATCGTGGCAGGGCAGTCAAGGCAGCAGGAGCTTGAAGCAGGTGGTCACATCACATCCACAATCAGGAACAGAGGGGGTACATTCATGCTCTGCTCAGTGCACTTTCTCCATTTTAGACAGTCCAGGACCACCTGCCAGGAAATGGCCCTGCCCACAATTAAGATGGGTCTTCCCACATCAATTAATGTGCTCAAGATAATCCATGATAGGCATACCCAAAAGCCCATCTTCCAGGTGATTCTAAGTATTGTCAAATTGAACAATTAATACCAACGAGCTCACTGGGTGGCCTTGGGCCAAGCCTGCCTCTCCATCTGGTGCTCTAGGACTCTCAAAGTGTCCCAGAGGGGATGTTCTCCAAAGTCCCCTCAGTAAAGTGCTTGAGCTCAGATACCCAGCACCCATGCAAAAAAATAAAAAACAAAACAACAACAACAACACCAAAAAGAGATGTGGCAGCCACCACCTGTGATCCCAGTACTGGAAAGGCAGAAACAGGAGGGTCCCTGGGCCTTGCTGGCCACCAGTCTAGCCAAATTGGTGAGCTGCAGGTTCAGGGAACTGTATCAAAATAAATAAGGTGGGAGCTGGAGAGATACTTCAACAGTTAAGAGCACTTGCTGTTCTTGCAGAGGACCCAGGCTCAGTTCCCAGCACCCATGTTGGACGGGTCACAACTATCTGTACTTTCAACTCCAGGGGATGCCCTCTTCTGGCTTCCATGGGCATATACACATATGGCATAATTTATATACACAAATACATAAAAAATATTAAAAAATTAAAGGTGGAGAGCAATTGAAGGAGGCACCAATACTGACTTGAGGTCACACACATGCATGCATAGCCTCATGTATGCACACACATAAATATGAACACACATAGACAAGAAAAGAAAAAAGAAATGAAAACCAATGTAGAGGGTTGAGACCAGCTCCTGGTACAATTGTATAGCACCTATTATGTACTGTAGCACTTAGTAGCATTTGCTTCTGTGAGCAAGTCAGTATGTATCAATGTCATCAAAATCTTGTGCAGTTGAGCAGAATTATAATTCCCATTTTACAGATCTAGAAGCCAGAGCTTAGAAAAGCTAAGTGACTTGCTAACCTAGTGGTAAAGCTAGAATTCCAACCCAGATCATCTGGTTCTAAAGTCTATGCTGTCAGCCACTAGCCAATACTCTCTTCCCCAAGGCAAAGCCTGTGACATTATAAGCCTCTTGGGGTTCTGTTTCAGGGCCTAGGCTGGCTCTCAGGGATTGGACCGAGGAACTGGGAGTCTGAAAGACCTTGCCTCTCACTTCCCCTTCTTCCCCTTGATACCATTGGCATACAGCATGTGGCACACAAATTTTGAAGCACTCTATATAGCAGGTACTCCCACATATAGTGGATAACTCATAAATGCTAAACCCTTCATTCAATAGGTAGCTTATGAATGATAAGCTCCTGGGGACACATGGCCTCCTTGCTGACTACTAATGCTGCCACCTGCTCTTTGGTGTCTCTTCCAGCTTGATAACCATCAAGAACCGGGAGATCTGTGCCAACCCCAGGCTGCCCTGGGTAAGGAGAATAATCCAGAAGCTGGGCTAGTGAGGAGTACCTGATGACCATGGCTGGGGTGCTCCAGGAAGGCTCAGGAAGCCCTGCCCCTCTGCCGTTTCCCGCTGCTCCACCAGCAGGAGGCTAGCCTACAACTCTGCATCTGATCACCTCTTTCTCCTGGGCTGTCACTCTGTCCCTCCCATCTCCCCTCTAGCCCCTTCCACCCATCCTCCCCATGCATGGCAATGGAAAGACCACACCTGGGCCAGCTCTTCCCCTGTCCCCATTGCTCCAGATGAGGTCAGAGCCCCTGGCCTGGTACCCAGCCCTGCAGATCTGGGTTCCCTCCCTGCCCCCAGTCTTGTCCCTATTCCCTTCTTGTATGTTGGAAAGCTCCCTGTGCTCCAAGTGCTACCAGCTCCACTTCCTGGGAGGTTGCTGACACCCAGAATGTTCATCTTGCCACCTGCCTGCATCCAGTGCCACCCACCCTCTCAGGCTTCACTCAGCCCTAGCAGGCACCCACCCACTGAGCCCCACTCTTCAGACATTCCTGGCCTCTGCATGCTCTCAGCAGACCTAATCATGGTTCTTCTTAGAACTCTCAGGGTTTTGGTCTGGTCTTCCAGCCTGTGGGTCAGACCAAGAGCTGCTGCTGTCTCCCGGTTCCAGTGTAGAGAAGGGAGCACAGGCCAGGCTTAGAATCAAAGGAACCACATACTCCATCAACAAAAACCATGTCTCCCTACCTACAGCGACAGGGAAATTCCCTGTCAACACATAGATTCATGGTTACCAGCAAAGGCTAGTTGGGCCAACTGCAAAATCTCAAATTTATCCACAATCAACTTCCATCCCCACTTCAGCCATGTGTTGGGTCTTTTACTTTTTCTTCTTTCAGACTTTTAATGATTCTTCAACCTCTACCACCCAGGCCTGACCTGTTTAGATTTTGCCCCACTCCACTTCCCCTATCTCCTTCCCTAAATGGCTGATAACTAAATTTATGCTGTGGTTTCAATGATTGCCATGGTTTGGTATTATAAGCTACAGTTACATTCATATAGGAAAAGAGGATATGGGGCTGGAGAGATGGCTCAGCGGTTAAGAGCACTGACTGCTCTTGCAGAGCACCCGGTTCGATTCCCAGCACCCACGTGGCGTTGCATGACATGGTTGCACTCACATATATGCAGACAGTACAATCATACACATAAAATAAAAATAATAAAATATTTTTTTAAAAAAAGAGGATAAATACTTAGGGGACTAAATGAATGAATAGAAGAATTTCAGGAACTGAGGGGAGGTACACACAAGGTGATACTTTCCTGGCCTCAGAATGCAGCTGGCTGTGGCAGGGTCACGTCAATGGGTGGGGCAGTCAAGTGAAAGAGCTTGGCTGGAGATGGTTTGTGGGTGGTTGGGGCCAGGCCAGGATCTGGGATTTGGGTCTCATGTGTGCCTCCTTGGGGACAATATTGCCCCTCGGAGAGGAAATGCACCTTCTTGCTCCTTCTGGAGGGAGTGTGGCCCAGCTTAGCAGTGTGGATTGAGCAGTGTAACCTGAGGAGACTGTTTCACCTCTGTGAGCCTGACAGAAGATAGGATTGCAGGGAGCGTCGATCCAAGCCATGGAGAATGGCACTGCCAGCCACAGCTGCATCCAGGGCTCACATCTCTCCAGAGTCCAGGATCATCTGTCCACGTTAGTGCTATATTGCCCACTGCCCATGCACAGGCCCCCAGATGCCATAAGATCTGTCTCCCTGCCTGCCCTGCCTTTGTCCCTCTGATGTCTGGGAAAATAAATCCTCTCCAATAGTGTCTGCCTTGGTTCTTTGGCTTTTGTGGTTCCTGGGAGACAGGACAGAGGTCATCACAGCCATGTCTCTTTCTGGGAAGGCTTGACACTGAAATATACGGCGACTTGCACAAGGTCACCCCATGAGAGGACTCAAGATCTGGGAGGCACCTATACAGAAGACAACAGAGATGCCAGGCATTGGTCCCCAGGTTCCTGCCCACCAAGCCTGGCCATTGATAAGGTCACTGTTCATCTCCAGGTCCAGAGCTGGACACAGCATGTTCATTGAATGGAAGTGTTTTCTTCTCATATAGAAGGATCCTTGGGCCACCTCCCATGGTGGTCATCCAAGGACCCAGGCCCTTCCTTCTCCTGGCTCTGGAGAGGGGAATGGAGGCTATGGAATGGTGAGAAATATGTACCCATTCTGCCACCTATACTTAGCAGGACCCAGACATATGGCCATTCTGACTGCAAGGGATGCTAGGAAACAGAGCCAAGTTGTGTGGGGGAGGAAAAGGAAGTAAGCTGGGAGCGCCTGGGTCCCTGGGGCTGGGCTCTCTTGGGCTTCTCAATTCTCCATAGGCCTACCTCCTTCCCTGGGGTCCCACACAAACCTCACTACCAAGACAACAAAAAATAACACTACATGCTCTGTGTCTTCATGGTTTCCTGTGGCAGTACTATGTGATGCCACATTATAGTTATGCCTGAATGATGACAGCCTGACTCAGCATCTGTTTCAGTCAGGACAGGACTTGAACTCTTAAGAAAGCCTGTTCCTTCAGAACTGTCTAAGAACTGTGCTCCCAAACAAAGGCTCACTTTTAATTTTACTGAAGCAGTATGTCCAGCATGAAATGGGGAAGTAAAAGCAGACCCTTATCATAAAATTTTGTCTCTTCTGACCCCTATTGACCTAGGACAGCACACATACAACCACAAACAGATGTTATCAATTTAATCTTTGTTAGCAATTCCAGTGAACACACATAGACACACAGACACATACATTGTTCTGGGTCAAGGACAAGAAAGAGTCCTGGGAGATTAAGGCTGCATGTTTTGTAAAGGTTATATGAAGAGCTCAAGGCTCAGTGAGCTTGTCTATATTATAAACAAGCTAAGATGAGATTAACTTTTTGGCCTCAAGGTTAAGTCAAAGTAATCCATCCAGAGCATGTCCATATAGTAAAAGTCATTCCCACAGTTCCCTGCATATAAGCACTGACCTTGGGCCCTTGAGCCCTTGACCTCTGCTTCTTTAGACTTTCTGGGCAGACCCCAGAGCACTTCCCAGGAAGAAGCATCTAGAAGGGCACACATCAAGGTCCAGATGAATGCAAGTTTCTTGAAGGGGTAACAAGGTACTCTACCCCTCTGAGCCTTAGGTTTCCCCTCTGTGAGTAGGGAGAAAAAAACCCTGTGTCAGTGCACGTGGTATGAGAATTAAAGGAGACGAGGAAGTCCGGGAAATCCGTCAACAAAGCAGACAAAGTGCCAATGACCACAGGAATGGAGACAGCTCCACACCAGTGTCCACCACAGCCTCAAGAGTTCTTTTCTCATTTAAGATGAATTTATCCATATTTTCTCTGTGTGTGTGTGTGTATGTGTGTGTGTTACCTGCATGTATGCATGTATGTATAGTGTGTGTGTGTGTGTGTGTGTGTGTGTGTGTGTGTGTGTGTGTTACCTGCGTGTATGCATGTATGTACACAGCATGTGTTCCAGATGCCCACAGAGGCCAGAATCAGGCATTAAGTCACCTGGAACTAGAGTTACTGATGGTTGTTAACTGCCATGTGGGTGCTAAGAATTGAACATGGATCCTCTGCAAAAGTAGCCAGTGCTCTTAACTGCTGAGCCATCTTTCCAGTCCAGCTTGAAAAGTTCTTTTCAGAACCTACCCCCAACACACACACACACACACACACACACATACACACACACACACACACACACACACACACACACACACAAATAAAATCAGATTCTTGGCTTTGCCACAGGAAAGAATTTCAGGACAAGCCAGTATGAAGCAAATTTGGAACTTATTAAAAGACGTTTTTAATAGATTTAGAAGCAGAGTTGGACTGGAGAGATGGTTCATCAGTTAAGACCATGTGCTGCTCTTCCAGAGGACCTGAGTTCAATTCCCAGTATCTATGTCAGGTGGCTCACAACCACGTGTAATTTCAGCTCCAAGGGATCTGACACTCCTGGCCTCCATTGGTACCACACACACACACACACACACACACACACACACACACACGCACACACCTAAAAATAAAATAAATCTTGGCACTGGAGAGATGGTTCAGAGGTTAAAAGCACTGGCTGCTCTTGCAAGGGACCCAAGTTTGATTCCCAACATCTATAGAGCAGCTCACAACAGTCAATAACTCTAATTCCAGGAGATCTGACACCCTCTTCTAGCCTCCATGGGCATTGCACGACACAGGCACACATATACATGCAGATAAACACTCATACACATAAAAAGTTTTAATTTAAGCCTGGCGTGCTGGTGCACGCCTTTAATCCCAGCACTGGGGAGGCAGAGGCAGGAGGATTTCTGTGAGTTCGAGGCCAGCCTGGTCTCCATGGTGAATCCAGGACAGCTGGGGCTACAGGGATGACCCTGTCTCAAAAAAAAACAAAAAAAAAAATTTTAATTTAAAAAAAAATTTTTTTTTTTGGTCTTTTTGAGACAGGGTCTCTCTGTAGCCCCAGCTGTCCTGGAACACACTTTGTAGACCAGGCTGGCCTCGAACTCACAGAGATTCACCTGCCTCTGCCTCGAGAGTGTTGGGATTAAAGGCGTGTGCTACCACGCCCGGCAAAAATCTTTTTATAAAAAAGCAGAGTTAATAGAAAGAGATGCTCAGGAAGAAAGCAAGACACACCTCAGAGCATGGGTGTGGGCTTCTCAAATGCACCCTTGTCACATTGTCTTCATAGTAGTCACTGAGACCATGCTGATGGATTTTGAAGCTATTAACCTTCAAAGTGTTACTAAGAAACCTAAATGAGATCTCAGGGTTTCTGAGAGGCACATGACTGGATCATAAATGATAAAAGTCTAAATCATAGGGGTGTGGAAAGGTAAGGTATCTTCACAGGGATTCCCAGAGAGCGTCTAGGGGCTGAATGAGGCCATACCCAAGGTCATATACGTTCGGGCCTTATGTTCAGTTCACTGCGATTTTAGCGTACAATATTTGTATATAAAGAA